TTTGCAACGCTCTTTCAGGTCCCTCAGGGCATCATATAGCTGGTATCTGCTTTTGTGTAAAGAGATCTTAATAAAATTCAAGCAGCATGAAACGGAAAGTCTGGAAAAAAATGACCAAATTTCAGAAACTGAAGCAAAATATGATCTCTTTGTTTCACCCTCCTTTTCAGAGGCTGATAAAAATCCTACAAGGATAAAAACAAGGAAGCAGGCAATGGAGTGTGATGAAGATGTGAGAGTTAAGCACCACGTCCAGTGTTGACACCATCGGTCACCATTCTGCATCACTCCTGTGAACCGTAAGTGGAAATGACCCTGGTGGCTGCCCCCACAGAAGGTGGTCCCATGGAGGAGGCTGCGCTCTGCAATTGGAAGGGACAACCACAACCTCCCAGCGTGTGTTGTGTTCCTGGGCTGGGGAATCCTTTTGATACAGCAAAGTTCTTCCGTTCAAATTGTCAGTATGATACAGGAGGGCATTCCCTTTCCGCCCCTATTCTTAATTATTTTACTCAGAAAAAAATGACTAGACCTTACTTATCAGACTAAGCACAGAAGCATGTTTTGGGTTTAGTTTCAGGCGTTCCAGAACAGGAAAATGCAAACTGATTTAGAGAAGCCTCAAAGTGCTAGGGAAAAGCTCCTGAGCATGATGAAGATAGGGTACAAGGAAAGGGACAAGTGTGCTCTACTGTATCCGAGAATTTTGCTGAAAAAAAAACAAGGTATTTTGCTTATCTGCCCAAAAGGAATGGGTAAGCAGATGAGCTGAATGGTACTTCTTGACTTGGTCTATCTACATTTAAAAACAAACAGCAGAACAAACATATTATTTCCTCTATAGCTTCTCTATTATATTATTTCCTCTAGATACCAGAAAAATGTCCATCTAAAACTGCAGTTTCAAGTTTAGCCTTGTCATTATGTTGTTTTAGAATGAGTATAAGATTCAAATTTCTCTTTGTTCAAAACTAACCATGACACAGAGTTGTTTAGCTGCGTCATGTTTTGGTTACTTTCCACTATATTTTAAAATAAACAAAAAGCATTGCTGCTTGCAAGTTCTGTTCCAAATATTTAAAAGGCTGTTTGTTTTCCAGCAAACTTTAAAAATGAAAAATGATTCTTTTTTTTTACCCCCAACAAAATTATTGTCAAAATGATTACTTTTTACTATTCTGAAAAATACTGTGCTACATTTTTACCTATTAAAGGAATTGATGTCAATTTATTTCCAAGAACCCTTTTAGAGTAAAGACAGAACAAAAATGTGAACCTTTTTTTTTTTTTTTTTCCCCTGATGCTGCCACGGGTTTGCATTGCAGCTCTACCTACTCGGTTTGACCTTTACTGTCAAAAAAATTCACTGATTTTGTATGCTTTAATTTTTTTGATGGGAGATTTAACAGTCTATATATGCTTGAAATATGCTGATGATAGCTTCTCTATTTCTGTGTTTCCAGCTTTAAAGCAGGTATGTCATTAACCTATGTCTTAGGATATTCAAGGATTCAATGCATTAAAATGTATGAAGTACTTTGAGTGAAATAGAAAAGTGCATTTTTCTCCTGTATTATTACAGAATGATTTAACTGGGCAGATAACGAAGCAAGTAGATAAATAACACCTGGAAATCATCATAAAATTTTTAATACTGCAGCTTTTCACCATCATCACTGTTAGCAGATCTGGTTCAAGACTCAGTGAAAGGAACAAGGAAAGAAATTATTAAGAAATTATTAAGAAATAAGACTGTGTCATAGGGAAACCTGCACTGAGAGATCAACAATGAAGTTTCTTGCTTTTGCTCAAAGGTAGGTCTTATTTTCAGGCCAAGGAAACTTTCCAGCCTTATATGTTGCCAAATCTTTTTTTCAATATTTCCTAAACCCACACAATGATTTCCCAGTGCCCCTGCTCACTACTGCAATCTCACTCTTTTAGGGCAGAATCAATAATGTATATTAACCTCACAGAATTCACTCCAAGACAGAAATTTTGTTGACACAGTCTATTCAGTTCTTCAAAGATCAAAACAAAAACAAAATAGTAAATAGTTTATTGGCATAATTCCTTTATACATCACTATAAAATGCACTGTTCAGATGGTGGTGGCCCAGCAGCCCAATAACACTTAGTTCCTTTGAATTTTTCCAAATATAACTAAACCAGCTTCATTCACTTTACTCCTTTTTCTTTCTAACAAATGACCAAGTTTCCTTTCCTCTATGGTCCTCTGGCCATATGCATAAACTACAAGTCCCAGGAATGATTAGTAAAGGCTCCACATTATTCAGCTTATCCAAAGAAGAGAAATAACTGCTTTGTCAACACATGCTAGGTAGCATTGCAGGAACTTTCAGGTTAAACCAATTTACATTAATTATTAAAAATAAACCTTTTCTTTCATACTTGCAAACACTACAAACTAAATACCAAATGAATTGTTTGGAAAATGCCAATGATAAAATAACTCATACATAGACTTGACTTGATTTAAAACGGTATTCTTTTTTTTTTTGCCAAACAGAGGTTGATACTCTCATGTCGTGGCTGAAACTAAAAGAGTAATATCCAGCAAGTGAATGTATGAGGGCATGAAAGGACAGGAGTTTGATATCTCAGTTCCATTCAATTATTTTTGCTAAAAGTAAGATATATTTTTAAAGAATCATAAAGGTTTTCTGAAAACTGAAAAACACTACTTGCTATAAGTCTTTTTGAAATAAAAGATAAATGGCAATTGTAACTAGAAAGATTTTAGCTGT